TCTCTTCAGAGACGCTCTGAGACGCCCCAGTCTGGCTGGGATCGGTCGCAGAGTCTCCTCTTCTCTCTGTATATCCCTCTCTATCTGATCAATCCCGCCTCGTATGCGTTGCAGTGCCGCTGCTAGCCATTTTGGTGCCCCAAGCATAATTCATTTATGATGCCCCCCCCGCCCCCCCTAAAAAAAAACATTTTCATTTAGGATTTTCATTTTGGGGGGCTAAGCCCCCAATGAGGGTATGATTTATAAAAAAAATAAAAAGCTAAAAAGTAACACTTTAGATTAGGGTCTAATGTTTACTATTAACTAGTTTCATTACCATGCAATGGCATGGTTTTATAATCACTGGGATCCCGAATTTGAGGCAGGTTAGTTAGGGGTGTTCGGGGGAAATTTTTGGATTTTTCTGAACTACAGATGTGCATTTTAAGATGTTGTGAAGGCAAAAATAATAATAATAATAATAATTCGATAACAACAGCTTTAAAACCATGTCAGTGTGCAGCTGATTATTTTTCTCTCCTCATCAGCATCACACTCTTTTTCTCTTTGTTTTTATCTTGCCCTGTCTCTTCCCCTCCTAAAGTTGGCTTTTTTTAATTTACTAAAGGTTACATTTTGTATTTTATTCTCAATATGTACACATTCATTATAAATCCTGTGCCTAACATGATGAAAACGGCTTTGTTCATGTTTCTTGTCCCCTCACAATGACAGTAGCCTAAACTATTACACTAGGCTACATGTTACAGGCCTATTTTCAGTTAAAAATGGCGAAATTAGACAAAACTATATTAGTTTGCCTAATTATTTTTTGTCATTCGTTTAACATTTATGACCTAAAAAAACCTGTCAAATAAAGTTAAGTTTAGCTACTTACATCTTATCTCGCACTTGACCGTACACTGAAGCGTCGAGTTGCACTGTTAAAATTCGCGCTCAGCGTCTGTGAACATAAAGCCTGCCTACTTTGATTTGATTGGTCATCTCAAATATTCTGACATTGACGAGCAGTGACAGACCAATGAGGCTCAGAAGAACACACACATGAACACACACACACACACACACACCCTGTCCTGTGTTTCTGACGTGCTCTCTGTCTCTGCTCGGCGCCGCTGCGGAATGAAGAGGAAGAACGCGCTGAATCTGATTATAACAAGAAGTTTGATGATTGGTTTTTCATTAGGCTATTTTTGGTGCCCCCTCAGCACTTGGTGCCCTACGCACAGCGCGTGATGCGCGTGGTGGGAGCGGCGGCGCTGTGCGTTCCCGTGTTCTCTCCGAGTCCCGCCGCTCTTCCTTCACGGACGTGCTGAACGCAGCCCTGCGGACATTAGCCAGTTTTCTGACGTCATTTGTGATTCTCCTCTTTCTTTCAGCCACATCCGCTTGTCTTCTGTCTTCTAATATTCTCTCGGTATCCTCTGTGATTGGATTGGTGAAGTGACGGTTGTCATTTCGAGCGAGCAGCTCATCAACCCTCTGCAGGAGTTGACTCACCTGATCCCGGTTTGTAGGGTTTGTGTTGTCGAAGGCCACGAATCGCCTCCCGAATCTCTCCACGAGCTCCTGCACTTTCCGATTTTCCGATCTTGAAATAAACCCTTCGATGGATTCTCCTCTGAGTTTATCCGCGTGAGAGAATATGAGGATGGTGTAATGAGTGATGTCCTCATGAAACATCTCCAGAATCATGTGTACGGATCGCTGCTGCTCCTCTGTGAACCGGCCTATCGGCACCACCAGCAGAACTGCATGAGGACCCGGAGAACACCACGCCAGGCAACGGTTAAGCTTCCGAAGCGTTTGATCCGTGTCAGAGAAATCCGGCGTGTCGACGAGAACCAGCTCTCGCTCCTCCACCGTTGCGCTCTCTCTCCTGCACTCTTCTGTGACCGAGCTCATGCTCAGTCCGTCATCAAAGTGCTTGTTTCCCAGGATGGTGTTTCCCGTCGCGCTTTTCCCTGCGCCGGTTTTTCCCAGCAGAACCAGGCGCAGTTCGCTCCGCGCTGGACGGGGTTTGCAGTCCGTTTGTGCAGGTTTCTCGTTTGTGTGTTTTCTCTCATTCGAGTCACTGTTGGACCTTTTCCTCAGCTGGACATCAGGAACACTGTCTGCGCCTGACAAATAAAGTGATCCTTATTTATTGTGATTATTATGTGTTTGTATCTATCTTACACACACACACACACACACACACATTAACCCTATACCTAAACCTACCCATCACACACACACACACACACACACACACACACACACACACACACACACACACACACACATTAACCCTATACCTAAACCTACCCATCACACACACACACACACACACACACACACACACACACACACACACACACACACACACACACATTAACCCTATACCTAAACCTACCCATCATATACACACACACACACACACACACACACACACACACACACACACACACACACACACACATTAACCCTATACCTAAACCTACCCATCACACACACACGCACACACACACTAGCCCGACCCCTAAACCTACCCATCACACACACACACATTAACCCTATACCTAAACATACCCATCACACACACACACACACACACACAGTGAACCAAATGTTAATGTGTGTAAGATACATACAATCCCATAAACAATGCATGTTCTTCATCAAGGCTTTTTTCATTCGAACAAATCCAGAATTTTTACTAAATACAAGAATAAAGTAATAATGTTCAAATAAGTGTAGTCTTCTTATGAATAAATTACACTTAAACCAATAAATGATCTTTATTTTTAAACAGTAAAGTTACAGTAAAAGCGTCCTGCATCTTCATGATGTTTGATCATTACCGTGTCTATGTTTTTGTGCGTTTCATATTTTTTATATTCCCTCTCTGTTCTTATTTCTGTGATCGTTGAGCGAACAGCTGTTGCATTAAATGTGCTTTATAAATAAATGAATGAAATGAAATGAAATGAATAATTACCTTCGTTGGACATGTTTTCTGGTGTCCCGTGTTCCTTGTCTTGACTGGTTTATGATGGGCAGGACTTACAGAAGCGGAACTGACCTGAAGTGCAATAGATTCACAGACTCGAACTTCCTGGATTAATAACTCGCGAGCTAAACGTGGTAACTACACAAATAACACCTGTTTTTAATCGTATAACGTGGACAAGCAGCTACAACCTAATTCTCCTCGAAACGCTTTCTTTCGTAGTGGACAGAACACATAGATCTGTGAGCGCAGACTGAGACAGATCCAGGACCTGTGCAAAGTGCAAAACTACAAAACCAGTCAATAACTTCACTGTCACACACTATAGTCAAGTCAAGTCACCTTTATTTATATAGCGCTTTGTATCAAAGCAGCTTCACAGTGATAACATGAAAATAATACAACAAAGTTTGTTTCTAGAACAAAATTGCATCAACGTCCACCTTAAGTAAGGCAGATCAATAATATTGTAGAATATTAAATGTCCCCAACTAAGCAAGCCAAAAGCCAAGGCAACAGTGGCAAGGAACCAAAACTCCATCAGGTGACAGAAGACACCAGATCACCATTCAGATCACACACCACTGCTGTCCTGCTGGTTATACTACAACACTTATTTTAGGAAAAATGTATTTTTGCATATTTTTTATGATTTTTATTTATGAAAAATATTCAATAACTTTTTGAATTTGGCATTGTCGCCAAATTCAGTTCATTAACATTTATACGCTCAAGATAAGATAAGAGCACAAAATAAATGCAAACTACCAATGATGAAGAACTCTTCTGATCCCGATCTGAGTGAAGCAAAGTCTTTATTTAAACAACAAATTAATCTGTACCTGGAAGATGAAGAAATAACGGATGCAGAAAAACAAGCTGGGAAAATATGTGGAGATGAAGGATTAAAAGACTCAATGCAAGGGGGCTCATGATGCAGATAAGAGAGAGCCTGACACCTTGTGGAGTTTCTTTGAAGGACAACTAAAGTTAAATAAACTTCAGAATCCACAGACTCCATCTCGTGCAATATAGACAAAATTCCAACGGTGGAAGAACTAAACCCAAACTTTGGTCGACTAGTAGTCGTTAATTTAAGCGATTAGTCGACTAATCGTGCATTTATGTTAATAAGCCATAAAACATAATAACGAGCCTTCTATATAAAATATACATAGCCTAATCAGTGCTTGTACAAAATTCCCTGCCGCGCGCATGCGCGAGGCGAACTTGTTCAGACTTGTTCTGATGTATGCGCAAAAAGTTTCATCCAGCAGCATCCAGCGCACGGAGTTTTTCTGGCATTGTTTCGTTCCTAAAAGTCTTTCTTCTTTGTGTGGTATTGCTGTGCGTTCATAACTACGTAAGTAAAGATATTTAATGTCATTGTAGATGGTTTTTAGAGAGTGTCAGAGCGGGATTCAGTTTATTTTACCTCAGAAATATTATTGTGTCAATATACATACAATCAGGCGCAGTGCTCGCGCGTATTCAGTGAGTCATCATGTTATATTTGTTAACGATGTTTATTCATATGGGAAAGGGAGTTGCTTGTCATGTTGATTCAAATATTCGTCTTATCGGCATATTAATAATGGTACAAAGAGCGCACGGGAGTGCTAGAGCAGCGCACACACTTTGTAATCTGACACCTCTTGTTAGCTGCAGCGGTCTGCATTTAGAGTATATATATTTCAATACGGTTTACTTTAACCTAATACAACTTTAACCTCTCCATGTATATGTATACAGGCACTATTTGTGTATATTCTGTCATATCATGTTATCATTTATATTTATCATCCTTATTTTGTTCTCTCACAGAGACCACTGTTATATGTATATCCACGCAAACCTGTCTACGACTTGCACTTTTGTGGCTTAATAAATATTGAGAATGGACAAGTTCACTCTGGAGTAGCTGCAGTTCTTTCTAACCGAAGAATTAGGCCAGTTGAGTTCCAACCATCCCACTGCGCGCAGAATATCCCACAAAATTGGTCCTTCGAGCCGGATCGGGACATCAGCTGCGCTATGGCTACATCCAGAGATTACTATGAGGGAGAACAAGTGCCAGATCCTCGTCCAAGTCGTACCCGGCGGGTGCCCACCTACTTGGAGGATTATGTGCTTGATTATCCACTTCCACGTCATGTTCATTCTTCATCAGCAGAGGTCGCTGCAGGAATATCCTATACAAGCCAGGGCACTCCTGCTCACAGGGACAGAGACTTTGAAAATGTAAAGCTTCATCACTTAGAGGCCCGCTGGAAAGATTTAAGCAGTGAGATGAGAGAGCTTCAAATCAGAATGGACAGTGCTAGACAGGTATCTTTTGAATCTAGATCTCCTGCTTACGGACAATATGAGAGTCTTCCTCACATTGAACTAAGTAACACTGGATTAGAACCCTCTATGACTGTAGCATCGTCTCCACAATATGAGGAAACACTTTACCACGAGCCCTCTATGCAGCTGCAGTCGCAACCGAGCCTGCATCCACCTAATATAGCTCGTGTATCTTCCCTGCCTGGGCCACAGCCTCAGAGGCCATGTGCGGAACTCCGACGATCAGACTCATGGCCCCCCACGGCTGCTCAGCCTGTTCAGCCTGCCTATTCTCAGTTACAGCCACAGCATCAGCCGACTCCAGTTCACCCTGCACCAGCCCGCATACAGCCACCGCATCAATCAGCTATTGTACAGCCTAAGCATTTTTATGTGCAACCCCAACGTCAGCCAGTTGCTATACCAGCTGCGCCAGCCTCACTGCGGTCACAGTACCAGCATATAGGGCCAGCTCCAGTTCCTCCTGTACCAGCGCAAGCAGCGATGCATCCTCAACGCCCTTATCAACCACTGCCTCTGCCTCCACCTCCTTGGCCTGGACCACAACCACAGTATTATTATCCTGTCAATCCTGTGGCACCGGGACTTATGGAAATGGCCATTGCCTCCTCCTATGGCATACCCAAACCAAAACTGGCAGTCTTCTCTTCTGGGAAAGAGAGTGATTTCCTTATGCTCAAGAAAGGACTGGACAGCATCCTTGGTCCACACAGGCATCTAACAGAGGACTATAAATATCAAGTGCTTTTGGATCATCTAACTCTACCCGCTGCTTATCAGGTAGCTAAGAGATATGTTAACAGCCCATTTCCTTACACCAGTGCCATGCAGGCTCTTGAACAGAGATACGGTCAACCAAGACAGTTAATTCAGAGCGAGTTGAGAGCTATCCTCAATGCACCAGCTATTCGACCAGGTGATGCGCAGGGGTTTGAGGACTTTGCGGCAGCTGTTAACACACTGGTGGGCATGTTGAACACAATGGATGGACCCTCTAGATACGAACTGCAGTGTGGCTCACACGTTGACACTCTACTGACCAAACTGCCTGTCAGCTATAGAGACTCATTCATAGAGTACTGTCTCAACAAGCATATAATTGTGAGCGGCAGTTCCAGGACTTACACTCTGCCTGAATTTGCTGAGTGGCTGGAAAGGAAGGCCCAGGCCATTCAAATATCTAGGCGTGTAACAGGGCCAGCGCATACAGAGCCCTATCGGCGAGAGCAGAAACCTCTTTCTTATCCCAAAGCCAAGGCAGCCACAATTCTCACAGGCAGTGAACAACATAAAACCATCAATTTGCCCTCCAGCTCCCTCACAGACACTAAAATGGCAACTACAGCTAAAAAGCGGGATCGCTTTAAGCCCTTTTGTCCCTACTGCAACAACCATGAGCATTATCTCAATGCTTGTGCAGCCTTTTGCAAGTTGAGCCACACACAAAGAGGAAGCTGGATTAAAGAGCAAAATAAATGCTGGAGATGTGGACGAGGTCACAAACAGGACAGCTGCACGCTCAAGAAAACTTGCTCTACCTGTGGAGGACTCCACCTGCCTGTTCTGCATGAAGTTGCCGTGGCTGCGGAAAACCAGAGCATACTCACAGTGAGCACAACCACTTCTCAAGTTTACTTGGATCAGGCCAGTCATTCAGGCAGAGTGATGTTAAAAGTTGTCCCAGTAAGACTTCGCAGTGGTAAAAGGTTCATGGATACACATGCTGTGTTAGATGATGGTTCGGAAAGAACAATTATCCTGCCAGCAGCAGTCAAACAACTGGGCTTGAAAGGATCAGAAGAAACTTTGACTCTCAGAACAATAAGACAAGATCTCGTTCAGCTAAGAGGAAATGCAGTCTCCTTTGAAGTATCTGCGATATCACACCCAAATGTGAAACATCAAATCCAAAGGGCATTTACAGCTGAAGAGCTCAATCTGGCTGAACAGTCTTGTCCCGTGAACTCACTGAAAGGAAGATATGGTCACTTAAGGGACATCCCGTTGAAAGGTTTCACTAAAGTGCAGCCTTTGCTACTCATAGGATCAGATTTCCCACAGCTGATCACACCAAACTGCCCAATCCGTATGGGACCGCTTGGTAGCCCTGTAGCAGTACACACTCTTCTTGGATGGACAGTTCAAGGGCCAACAACCTTTCTCCAGCAACCCTCAAATGTAAGCTCATGCCTTCACACCACATTCCTTCCTCCCATGCAAGAGTTACGTCAACATGTTGAGCGGTTGTGGCAGCTTGACCTACTGCCACAGAGAAACGAGAAAGAAGTAGTCCGTTCCAGACAAGACAAAGCTGCACTTGCAATGTTGGAGGAGAAAACGGTGCATGTTACAGTTGATGGTGCAACCCGCTATGCTACCCCATTACTTCATAAGCGAGACACGGCTAAACTCCAAGCACCACCAAATGCTGTCATGGCTCTTTTAAGAGCTACAGAACGTCGCCTTGTTAATAATCCTGATCTGGCGAACGTGTATGACAACGAGATACACAAGCTTGAGCAGGCAGGTTATGCAGAGCGAATAACCAACCCAGAAGGTGTCAATTCCGGTAATTCATGGTACGTTCCTCACCACATTGTGCTGCACAATGACAAAGCCCGGGTAGTCTTCAATTGCTCTTACACCTACAATCAAATGAGCCTAAATGACAATCTACTCCCTGGTCCCACTCTTGGTCCACCACTGCTGGGAGTCCTGCTCAGGTTCAGAGAGTATACCGTTGCGATAAGTGGAGACATACGAGCCATGTTTCACCAGATCAGACTGTTACCTGAAGACCAGCCATTGCTCCGCTTTCTCTGGAGAGACATGGAAAGAGATCGTAACCCAGACATCTATGAATGGCGAGTGTTACCATTTGGGACCACCTGTAGTCCATGCTGTGCTACTTATGCCCTCCAGAGACATGTCAGAGACAACAGTGAGGGCAATGAAGATGTAGTGGAGTCTGTCCAGCAGTCTTTCTATGTGGACAATTGTTTACAATCTCTTCAGTCTCAGCATCAGGCTAAAAAACTCATTGATAAAATGAGAGCATTATTAGCATCTGGTGGTTTTGACATAAGGCAGTGGGCTAGCAATGTTCCCAATGTGATTGCACATCTACCCGCTGAAGCCAAATCAGTAGGCTGCGAGCGGTGGCTTTCGGCAGACAAAACTGATCCACAAGAGTCGACCCTCGGCCTAGTGTGGCATTGTTCCCAGGACACTTTAGGTTATAAACACAGACCTGTGTCAACAAGTGGAGAAACCTCAATGAGAAATGTCTATCGCATCCTGGCAAGCCAGTATGACCCATTAGGTTACATCATCCCGTTCACCACAAGGGCCAAAATCATGGTGCAATCACTATGGAAGAGAGTTGGAGGTTGGGATGAACCTCTGCCAGCTGACCTTTTCTCAGAATGGCATGCTTGGGAAGAAGAGCTTCCTAACCTACAGAGAATAACACTACCTAGGTGTTACACACCAGCATGCAACAACACCTCCTCCACTATCGATATGCATGTCTTCTGTGATGCCTCGGAGAAGGCATATGGCTCTGTAGCCTATTTACGGGTAGAAACGGGTAATGACATTCAAATCGCATTCATCATGGCGAGGTCACGAGTGGCACCCAAGAAGCAACTCTCCATTCCACGCCTTGAACTCTGTGCAGCATTGTCTGGAGCTCAGCTAGCCAAAACACTGAACACAGAACTTACACTTAATCTCAGACAGACAATCATGTGGTCCGATTCAACAACCGTATTACACTGGATACAGTCTGAGTCATGCAACTACAAAGTGTTTGTGGGCACGCGAATCGCAGAGATTCAAGACCTCATTGGATATGAGAACTGGAAATACGTGGACTCGAATAACAACCCTGCCGATGATATAACCCGGGGTAAGACCCTCATAGATCTGTCCCAAACCTGCAGATGGAAGCAAGGTCCAGAATTTCTGCACCAATCTCCAGACCACTGGCCAATCCACCCGTCAGTGTCAGTAGAAGATTCAGAAGAACTCCGTAAATCCACATTCTGCGGTAATGTCACAATCAGTCATGCCTCTTTACCTGATATAGATAACTGCGAATCATGGGACGATCTCATCACGACCACATATCAGTCTCTGCATGGTTCGGCAGCACCCCCTATGTCTGCCACAGAACGCATAGAGACTGAAACTGCTGTACTCAGACGTGCACAGACTGAAAGTTTTCCTAAGGAAGTGCATGCCCTTAAATCCAATAAATCGGTGCATTCAAACAGTCGATTATACTCCCTTGCTCCAACTTTGGATCCTCATCTTAATCTGATACGAGTGGGTGGTAGATTACGCAAAGCAGCAACACTGCCAGAGGATGCACTTCATCCTATTGTGTTGGCCCCAGAACACCCCATAACAAAACTGCTAATCCAAGACTTTGATAACCGCCTGATGCACGCCGGTTCAGAAAGAGTCTTCGCCGAGCTAAGACGAACCTATTGGGTTCTCAGAGGCCGCCAGGTGGTAAAAAAGTACCAGAGACAATGCGCTGAGTGTCGCAAATGGCGTGGCAAGCCCATTGTACCTAAAATGGCTGACCTGCCTGCCTCCCGTCTGAGAATTAGTCAACCTCCATTCTGGTCCACGGGAGTTGATTGTTTTGGTCCCTATGTAATCAAAATTGGCAGACGACAAGAAAAGAGATGGGGCATAATATTTAAATGTCTCACTACAAGATGCGTACATCTCGACTTGTTATGCAGCATGGATGCAGATTCATTTTTACTAGCCCTCAGACGTTTCATATCAAGGAGAGGAAAGCCCTTTGAGATCATCTGCGACAGAGGCACCAACTTCAGGGGGGGAGAGCGTGAGCTCTCTGAAGCCTTTACTGAAATGGAACCATCACTCCAAGAGCAACTAGCCAAACAAAAAATTTCCTTCCAATTCAACCCACCTCACGCACCTCACTTCGGGGGAGTATGGGAGAGGGAAATTAAATCAGTCAAAGCTGCCCTCCAAGTTGTCCTGAAAGATCACACCGTCTCGGAGGAAGTCCTTACCACAGTATTGATCGAAGTGGAAGGCATCGTAAATTCAAAACCCCTGGGGTACGTATCATCTGATATAGCAGATCCTGACCCTATTACCCCCAATTTGCTGCTCATGGGGCGGCGGGACGCCTCCCTACCTCAGGCTGTGTATGGACCCAGCAATCTACTTGGACGGCGCCGCTACAGACACAGCCAAGTGATCGCCGATCACTTCTGGACCCAGTTCCTCAGAGACTACCTACCCAGTCTTCAGCTTCGACAGAAGTGGCAGAACATCACACCAAACCTAGCAGTCGGTCAGGTTGTATTGATTGCGGACTTTCAACTTCCCAGAGCAAAATGGCCTGTCGGTAGGGTGACCCGAGTCCTACCAAGCGACGACGGTGCAATAAGAGCCGTCGAAGTTGACATCAAGGGCAATACATATGTCCGCCCTGTTGCTAAACTCATTGTGTTACCTGAAATGCCTAAAGTTTAGTTCTTAGCACCAGTAGTTAATTTCGGACATTTTGTGGATTTACAAATTTCCTGTGTAAATTTGTGGGGCGGCTGTACAAAATTCCCTGCCGCGCGCATGCGCGAGGCGAACTTGTTCAGACTTGTTCTGATGTATGCGCAAAAAGTTTCATCCAGCAGCATCCAGCGCACGGAGTTTTTCTGGCATTGTTTCGTTCCTAAAAGTCTTTCTTCTTTGTGTGGTATTGCTGTGCGTTCATAACTACGTAAGTAAAGATATTTAATGTCATTGTAGATGGTTTTTAGAGAGTGTCAGAGCGGGATTCAGTTTATTTTACCTCAGAAATATTATTGTGTCAATATACATACAATCAGGCGCAGTGCTCGCGCGTATTCAGTGAGTCATCATGTTATATTTGTTAACGATGTTTATTCATATGGGAAAGGGAGTTGCTTGTCATGTTGATTCAAATATTCGTCTTATCGGCATATTAATAATGGTACAAAGAGCGCACGGGAGTGCTAGAGCAGCGCACACACTTTGTAATCTGACACCTCTTGTTAGCTGCAGCGGTCTGCATTTAGAGTATATATATTTCAATACGGTTTACTTTAACCTAATACAACTTTAACCTCTCCATGTATATGTATACAGGCACTATTTGTGTATATTCTGTCATATCATGTTATCATTTATATTTATCATCCTTATTTTGTTCTCTCACAGAGACCACTGTTATATGTATATCCACGCAAACCTGTCTACGACTTGCACTTTTGTGGCTTAATAAATATTGAGAATGGACAAGTTCACTCTGGAGTAGCTGCAGTTCTTTCTAACCGAAGAATTAGGCCAGTTGAGTTCCAACCATCCCACTGCGCGCAGAATATCCCACAGTGCTCAAACGCACGCATAAAGATGGCCACAACACCGCAAACCTAATGAATATCAGTGTGTCGTAAAAAAACAGAAGGAGACTGTTTAAACATTTTAATAATTTATCTTTACGAGTTGTGGGCGAGTCACTGAGAAACATGGCGGAATACCACAATACTTAAAGGGGTCATATAATGCCATTTTTGTACAAGCTAATATGATTCTTTAGGGTCTAAATTAAAAGTTTGTAATATACTTTAATTAAAAATTCTCATTAGTATTGTAAGAAAACACTTATTTTACCTGGTCAAAAACAGCTCTGTTTTCAGCACGCCGTTTCAGTGCATATGACTTTAAATGATAATGAGCTTTGCTCACTCCGCCTCTCTGTTCTGTGCATACACCGTTTGTAACACAATAACACAATAACCATAACGCGTTGTTCAGTATAAACGTGGAATTATGAATTATATTGAGAACGTCATACATAGAAAACATGCCGTAATGTACCCTGAGTGTAAACCTTAGACGCATTCATTGTGAAGCGTGCAGCTAGCGATTTGCAAAGATTAATATATTAATATAAAGTTTAATAAAACGTTTCACTCACTTCCGTTCTTCTGGAGGTTCAGCAGGAACACGAATATCTGCTACCGATCCTTTATTCAGGAGCTGCTTCTTAGCAAATCCAGCTTTATACTGACCCTCGTTTATAAAGCAGTCTGGTGTGTGAAATGATTCGCGCAAACATGAGAGCATTGACGTTGCTCGTGGGGAATATTCCCTTCGAAAACAAAACTCAGCCACTGCGTCTTCAGCGGTTCGGGTTTAGGAACATTAAAATGACTGTGTTCGTTATTACACCCAAGAACAGAACACCACAATCGCTTAGAGCCATTCTGCTCATAGACATTGCTCCAGCATATCAACAATGACCGCGCCGGTCCGGTCCGCGCCGCGCAGACTATGATTGACAGCTACCTTATGTGCGAGGGCGGGTCTGTGTTGAAACGCTCCCGTCAATCAACAATCGTGGGAGGGGCGTCCGTTTTATTGACGTCACAAAAACGAACGGCTCGATTTGAGGCAGGGGAAAACATATAAGGAGATTAAAACAAAACCACTGGATGGATTTTTATCATTATATGATGTTTGTGTACAGGCACTGCCAACACACATTTTAACTTGTAAAAGTGCATGTACCATTATATGACCCCTTTAAAGGCATTTAGCAGTTATATTGTCAGGCTTTTCTATTTACAGCAAAGTAAGCTAATTGCCTGTACAGAATATGATGTCATTATAATATAACAATGTAATATGTAACGATAAAGTTTGCAGTGGCTTCATAAATTAATAAAAAAACATAAAAAAGCAAAGCACACCTGATGCACATTTCTTTGTTCTTCATTTTTAGAAGTAGAGTTTAAGAACCTTGCTGTATTTTTGTGTAATTAATTAAGATAAAATACACCGCCATCTTACTCTGACCAAAGTGACTTGAGCGCACCTGCAGTCGTAAACACGACTTCCCACCTCGTACGTACGAACTTCCCAGGAAGACTTGAACGGACCATGGCAACTGGGAACAGAGCAAATAGAGGGAAACCGAAAATACATGTTACATCAGTCCCCCCTCCCGGAAGGCGTGTCACTGCACTGTAACAAGTCCAACCGAGCAGGGAGGGGGCTCTGGAGGAGGACGAGGGGTGACGAAGGTCAACCAACAGGATGAGATGAAGGTTGGAGAAACCAGGGTGTCGATGACAGTGGGAGGAGCCAGGAGCAGGAGGAGCCCACAGTGGAGTCAAAGGAGGGAGGAGCCATGGTGGAGACGAGGCTGATGGAAGTGGAGCCCTGGGCTTGAGACTGGACGACACCGATGGTCCTGGAGGCTGAGGCGGAGCCGGAGTGACGAGTGTCAGAGGTGGAGCCAGGGTGCCAGAGGACAGAGGATGGAGCCGAAGTGACGAGTGTCCAAGGTGGAGCCAGGGTGCCAGAGGACTGAGGCAGAGACGGGGTACTGAGGACCAAGGCGATGCCTAGCGAAGCCGAAGAAGTAGATGGAGGGAAGAAGCGCAGCTAAAGCCCAGTAAGTTTGTGGTATAGGCAGAGTGATGTCTGACCAAGGTAGACTCGGAGGGACGAGGTAGCCCGGTGGAGCCGAGGGAAGGAGGAGCAAAGTGGAGCCGACTGGTCAATGAGCCGAGGTGGAGAGAGGGGCTCGGCAGCTGGAGGTGGAGCCAGGGGATCCTCTTGATTAGGCGGAGCTGGAGACCGGAAGACCAGAGTCAATTCCACACAATAGAGTGGCTTCAGAGGAGGAGCCGAGGGGCTGAAGGGAACTAGCGGAAGAGGGAGGCTGGGTGTGGGCTCTGGAGACACAGGAGCCTTCGAGCTGGGCAGAACCAGCAGGGACGTAGGAGACTTTGAGCTGGGTGGAACCAGCGGGGACGAGAGACTCGGGTAAACATCCACTTCCAAGTCATCAAATAATGCAGAGGCCAGTTTCAGCTCACCCTCAGTAGTGGCAGTGTAGGCATCTGACCAAGGCAGACTCTCTCCATTCCCTCGTACTACTCAAGCAATCCCACAGTGGCACATGATGTTACTGGCTAACAGGGCCGGCGCTAGCCATTTGGGTGCCCTAAGCACAAATGCTTGGTGGTGCACCCTCTAATTGCAGTTTTTTTTTCTAATTGCAGTTTCACCAACAGATATCGCCCTTGGGCCTTGGCCTATGAACCTCTTGAAAATTATCCGCATAGAACAACAACGAAAAAACGTATCTAAGCGGTCTTCCTTTTCTTCTCAAACAAACTAACTGCATCTTAAACAGCCCAAGTTTCAAAATTCGAGAAACCCCCGGACCCCCGTTAAAATAAAAGATTCAACATGCAGGGCTAAAAAAGCCCCGGATCATTTGCACTACTAGCGACGCCCCCCTGGACATGCATTCACGACGCAAGGGCGCCCGCGCTACAAAACTAACATTTTTATTTAAAACATTGTCTTACCTGCAAGCGACGCGCGAGTATCATCCCGCTGTCTATTCTTTTCCCTTTTTTCCGCCCCCGACTCTTGATGCCTTTTCGAGGCCATGTCTGAGGTCGGTGTCTGCCAAATTTGAAATTGATTGAGGCATAATCGAACAGACCACTGGGAGGTGGGGAAGGGGGGGCACCACAGGGAGACTGGCACAGGAGATTTACCTTTTTCTCGACTAATTTGGTCTAGGCCTATATTACTCTTGTATTGCTTTTGTATATTAACATGCTTCAGACATATTTTATTTGTTATTTATACTAGTAGCCTATTGTGATGATTTTTCACGAGCCGATTTTTTGGTGCCCCCCCAAGCACTTGGTGCCCTACGCGCAGTGCGTGATGTGCGTGTGCGGAGCGCCGGCCCTGCTGGCTAACACACCTGGTCAGACATTTTGTGAGGCTCAGGCACCGGGGCGATGACTGACTCAGTCCTTGTTTCTGGCGCTGACTCGTGCATCGCAGCAAACTCAAGCTTTCTGTCTGCTGTGGGCTCAAGCGGCATGTCTGTGCAGCTGGCTGGATCTGGATCTGGAGTGGGGCTGGTGAAGTCCTCCGCTGGGGACGATAGTGAACGCCAAACCCACTCCAAAAAATCGCTGTGCCTTGGACCGCTTGCTGAGGCTGGTGATGTTTGAAGTACTTGTGCTAAATGTTAGGCTCTTAGATGTAAGAAAGAAATCCCTATTATCTCTAGCCTTGGCTACTGTATATAGACCGCCAGGGCCCTACACTGATTTCCTAAAAGAGTTTGCAGACTTTCTCTCAGATCTATTGGTCAATGCTGATAAAGCAATAATTGTTGGAGATTTTAACATACACGTAGATAATTCAAATGATGCGTTAGGGACTGCGTTTACAGATTTATTAAACTCCTTTGGGGTCAAGCAAAACGTCAGTGGTCCCACTCATCGTCTAAATCATACACTAGATTTAATTATATCATACGGAACCAATCCAACCGATATAGATATTATACCGCAAAGTGACGATCTCACTGATCATCACATGGTAACTTGTATAATACGTACTGCTGAAATTTGTCATGTTGCGCCGCGTTATAGACCAGGCAGAACAATCCTTCCAATCACTATAGATAGATTCTCAAATAGCTTACCAATTTGGACATAAATCTTCCATTTATGTCCAAAATACTAGAAAAAGTTGTATCCGCTCAACTGTGCTCTTTTTTGCAAGAAAATGATATCTATGAAAAATTCCAGTCAGGATTCAGACCGCATCATAGTACAGAAACTGCGCTAGTTAAAATTACAAATGATCTACTCTTAGCTTCTGACCAAGGCTGTATCTCAATACTAGTCCTACTTGATCTTAGCGCCGCGTTCGACACTATAGATCATAAAATACTCTTGGATCGACTACAAAACTACACTGGTGTTCAGGGACAGGCATTAAGCTGGTTTAGATCGTACTTATCTGACCGTTATCATTTTGTTTGTTTAAATGGGGGAAAATCAAAGTTAACGTCAGTAGACTACGGAGTACCGCAAGGATCGGTGCTAGGCCCTCTGCTATTCTCAATATATATGCTGCCACTTGGTAATATTATAAGAAAACATGGAATTAATTTCCACTGTTATGCTGACGACACTCAATTATATATTTCATCACGACCAGATGAAAACACTACCTCATCTAAATTGACAGAATGTCTCAAAGATATAAAATGCTGGATGACGCGTAATTTCCTGCTATTAAATTCAGATAAAACGGAGGTATTACTTATTGGTCCAAAAAACTACACACAAAACCTCTTACAATACGACTTTAATATAGAAGGATGCCCTGTTACTTTTTCCACTACAGTAAAAGACCTGGGTGTTATACTAGACCGCAACTTGTCTTTCGAAAATTATATTTCATCTGTTACAAGAACAGCCTTTTTCCACCTTAGAAACATTGCTAAATTACGTAACATGCTATCTGTTTCTGATGCAGAAAAGTTAGTTCATGCATTCATGACCTCGAGACTAGATTACTGTAATGCTTTATTAGCTGGTTGTCCTGCATCCTCAATAAACAAGCTACAGTTAGTGCAAAATGCAGCCGCTAGAGTTCTTACTAGATCAAGAAAATATGATCATATAACACCGATTTTATCATCTCTGCACTGGTTACCTATTAAGTTCCGTATCAATTACAAAGTACTACTACTGACCTATAAAGCCCTTAATGGTTTAGCTCCTATGTACTTAACGGACCTTCTTTCGCCCTACAATCCACCGCGTTCTCTAAGATCACTAAATTCAAGGCTTCTGGTCATTCCTAGGATATCGAAGTCCACGAAAGGAGGGAGGGCATTCTCGCATTTAGCTCCAAAACTCTGGAATAGCCTTCCCGATACGGTCCGATGCTCTGACTCGCTGACACAGTTTAAAACTAGACTAAAGACGTGTCTCTTTAGTCAAGCATTCACATAATGCTTACCTTTTAGTCCTCTGCTATGCCATACGGAACCGTTTGCCACTGAAACTGCTTAACGCACCAGTGGGGCTCGACAGCCTTATAGACAAACGGGTCGGTCCGTATGGTTGCGGTTGGGTTGCGGAGAGTTGTGAGATTATGGTTTTCTAACACCTACTCCCGTGTAATGGAAATCATTATGAACATCAGCTATGCTAATTATTTCCCATCTGCCTTTCTGCTGTTATCTCGGGACGCTTGTCCCGAGAAAAATGGCGTTCGTAGGCTCCAGTTTGGTATCCTGCCTCTCACGGGGATTTCGGATGCCTCAACGCCTGTGAAGAGACGACTCAACGCCTGCGAAGAGACGACTCAACGCCGGCGATATGTTATCCCCTAAATATTACATGATTAACTAAATGTATTTTTTCCAGGTACTCTCTGATATGCACTTACTGTAAAGCTTCTTTAAAACCCTATGATTGTTAGCCAGAGGAGAACTGGCCCCTGACTAGCCTGGGTTCTCCCAAGGTTTTTTTCTCCATCCAATCTGATGGAGTTTTGGTTCCTTGCCACTGTCGCCTTGCTTTTGGCTTGCTTAGTTGGGGATATTTAATATTCAACAATATTATTGAACTGTGTTGTACTACTTTCATGTTATCACTGTGAAGCTGCTTTGATGCAATCTGTATTGTGAAAAGCGCTATATAAATAAATGTGACTTGACTTGACTTACCTGATCTATCTCAGCTGCTCAGTGAACCCAAACAAACAGATGAACTAGAGGAAATGACCAGCAGTTTGAGCACCATTTTCTCTAGTACATTAGATATTGTTGCACCAATTAGATTAAAAAAGGTTAGAGAGAAAACTAAAGCACCATGGTACAATAGTACTACACATGCTATCAAGAGAGAAACTCGTAACTTAGAGCGTAAATGGAAACAAACTAATTTAGAGGTCTTTAGAATCGCGTGGAAAGACAGTGTGTCACGTTATAAAAAGGCTCTAAAAGCAGCCAGGGCTGAGCATCTCCGCAAACTAATAGAAAATAACCAAAATAATCCAAGGTTTTTATTTAACACCGTGGCTAGACTAACAAATAAACAGACATCACCCGAGCAAATTATTCCGTTACAGTATAGTTGTAATGATTTTATGAATTACTTCAATGAGAAAATAGAAAGCATCCGAAATACAATTGTAAATGTACAATCCTCTATGGTGTCTTATGATTCAGCCTCAATTATCGCCCCTCAAGAACAACTACACCGCTTTACAACTGTAGGACAGGAAGAGCTAAATAAACTTATCATTGCATCTAAACCAACAACATGTTTATTAGATCCAATACCCACTAAACTACTGAAAGAAGTGTTACCTGTAGTGGAAGAGCCTCTTCTCAATATTATTAACTTGTCTTTATCTTTAGGTCATGTTCCAAAAATATTCAAGCTGGCAGTTATAAAACCTCTTATTAAGAAACCGCAATTAGATCAAAATAACTTAGCAAATTACAGACCCATTTCAAATCTTCCATTTATGTCTAAAATACTAGAAAAAATTGTGTCCGCTCAATTGTGCTCTTTCTTGCAAGAAAATGAGATATATGAAAAATTTCAGTCAGGATTCAGACCGCATCATAGCACAGAAACTGCGCTAGTTAAAATTACAAATGATTTACTTTTAGCTTCTGACCAAGGCTGTATCTCAATATTAGTTCTACTCGATCTTAGTGCTGCGTTCGACACTATAGATCATAAAATACTCTTGGATCGACTACAAAACTACACTGGTGTTCAGGGACAGGCATTAAGCTGGTTCAGATCGTACTTATCGGACCGTTACCATTTTGTTTGTTTAAATGGGGAAAAATCGAAGATAACGTCAGTAGACTACGGAGTACCGCAAGGATCGGTGTTAGGCCCTCTGCTATTCTCAATATATATGCTGCCACTTGGTAATATTATAAGAAAACATGGAATTAATTTCCACTGCTATGCTGATGACACTCAATTATATATTTCATCACGACCAGATGAAAACACTAACTCATCAAAATTGACAGAATGTCTTAAAGATATAAATTGCTGGATGACGTGTAATTTCCTGCTATAAAATCCAGATAAAACGGAGGTATTACTTATTGGTCCAAAAAACTACCCACAAAATCTCTTACAATACAACTTTAATTTAGAAGGATGTCCTGTTACCTTATCGACTACAGTAAAAGACCTGGGAGTTATACTAGACCGCAACTTGTCTTTCGAAAATCATATTTCATATGTTACAAGAACGGCCTTTTTCCACCTTAGAAACATTGCTAAATTACGTAACATGCTATCTGTTTCTGATGCAGAAAAGTTAGTTCATGCATTTATGACCTCGAGACTAGATTACTGTAATGCTTTATTAGCCGGTTGTCCTGCATCCTCAATAAACAAGCTACAGTTAGTGCAAAATGCAGCCGCTAGAGTTCTTACTAGGTCAAGAAAATATGATCATATAACACCGATTTTATCATCTCTGCACTGGTTACCTATTAAGTTCCGTATCAATTACAAAGTACTACTACTGACCTATAAAGCCCTAAATGGTTTAGCTCCTGTGTATTTAATGGACCTTCTATCGCCCTACAATCCATCGCGTTCGTTAAGATCACTAAATTCGAGGCTTCTGGTCATTCCTAGGATATCTAAGTCCACTAAAGGAGGGAGGGCGTTCTCACATTTAGCTCCTAAACTCTGGAATAGCCTTCCTGATACTGTTCGTGGCTCAGACTCGCTCTCCCAGTTCAAAACTAGATTAAAGACGCATCTCTTTAGCCAAGCATTCACATAATGCTTACCTTCTATTGTTGAATCAGATCGAATGCATTAATATTATGAACAGCAGCTACGCTAATTATTTCCCATCTGCTTTTCTGCTGTTATCTCGGGACGCTAGTCCCGAGGTAAATAGTGTTCGTCAGCTCCAGTTTGTATCCAGCAGCCTCTCACGGAGACTTCTGATGCCCCAACACCTGCGATGAGACGACTCGACGCCTGTGAAGAGACGACTCAACGCCGGCGATATGTTATGCCCTAAATTAATACATGATGATTAACTAACTATATTCTTCTATGTACATTTCTGAAATGCACTTTCTGTAAAGCTGCTTTGAAACAATATGTATTGTGAAAAGCGCTATACAAATAAATTTGAATTGAATTGAATTGAATTGAATGTTAAAAATGCAGATAGTGAGTGAGGCATGACAAATCCAAAAAATCTTTGGTGTGATTCTCCAGGGAACAGTCCTTCTGCTCAAGGCAGAGCAGTTGGACGCGAGTAGGTCTATTAGTGATGGGGGAAAAGAAAAAAGGAAGAAAAAGCGTTCTGTTAAGATTTACTGGTCAGTAAACACAACAATAGAGAATTAAACATATAGACTTTTATTAATTGGCACTCAGGAGAATAAAGGAACAGGAATGATAGACACTAACCTAATATGCCATATTAATGGAAGACAAAACACTGGGGAGAACAAAGGGCTTAAATACACAAGGAGTAGTTATCAAGGTAAAACAGAACATTTTTTGATTGATTATTAAACTTGATTAGCAAACAAGGAAACTAACTATGAACACAGGCAACCAGAACCAGGAACAGAGCAAACAGAGAGAAACCAAAACCGAACATTCACGTTACATCTTAACCAAGTTCACAGTGTATTAACTAATGTTATCAAATACAACTTTTGATTTTAAAAATGTATTAGTAAATGTTGAAATTAACATTAACCTTCATTGTCAGTTCATGTTAACTATTATTAACAAATGGAACCTTAATGTAAAATGTTAGCCAAGAATTCTTTAAAATCTTAGAGGAGGAAAAGAATGAGAAAAGTACTTTGCACCCAAAGCCACTGATAAAGTCTTTACAGTCTATAATAAAGCTTGATATCTGAACTCATGCTGGTTGTCAATAACAAACGGATCACTGAATGCAGCAGTGTGTCAGTGTTGCCAGCTTTACAGATGCAGCTTTCACTGCAGCTCCAGCGACCGTCCCAAAAAAACTCCCGCTTTCTGCAGCTCCAAAGCCGAGCAAGCTGGACAAATACTGGACAGAAAATCCGACTTCCACAGCTGGAGCCGCAGGGAACAGAAATGCCAGGAGCGCAGGTGCATATGCAGCTCCGACCCCCAGCATAAACTTGGACAGCATAATCAGCAATTTCTTATTATCTTCAGAAAGTTTATAGTTCTGCCTCTCTTCACTCAGTCTTCTCTGCTCCTCTTCTTTCTTCCAGATATCCAGGTCCTTCTTTTCTTTATCTTTTCTTTCAATTCTCTCCTCCTCCTCCTCCGTCTCTTTATCCAGCAGTCTGCTCAGTTTCTCCAGCTCTCTCTTCAGAGATGCTTTGTACCGTTTCAGTCTGGCTGGGATCGGTCGCACATTCTTCTTTTCTTTCCTTATATCCTTCTCTATCTGATCAATCCCGCTTTGCATGCGTTTCCTTTTTCTCTCTGTGTCTTGCCTCTCTTCATTCATGGACACAATAAATGAACGCCATCGCTCATCAGCCAGTTTCCTCACCTCCTTCTTAATTTTCTTCATTCTTTCGGCCATACTAGATTGCATTTTCTCTTCTATTATCTTCTGCGCTGCCAGCATTTGTTCTGTGATTGGATTGGTGAAGTGATGGTTATCATTTCGAACGAGCAGCTCATCAACCCTCTGCAGGAGTTGACTCACCTGATCCCGGTTTGTAGGGTTTGTGTTGTCGAAGGCCACGAAACGCCTCCCAAATCTCTCCACGAGCTCCTGCACTTTCTGATTTTGTTTTGAAATAAACCCTTCAATGGATTCTCCTCTGAGTTTATCCGCGTGAGAGAATATGAGGATGGTGTAATGAGTGATGTCCTCATGAAACATCTCCAGAATCATTTCTACGGTGTGCTGCTGCTCCTTTGTGAATCGGTCTATCTGCACCACCAGCAGAAACGCATGAGGACCCGGAGAACACAAAGCCAGGCAATGTATTACTTCTTGTTTTAATTCGTCATCTGTCAAGTCTGTGTCAAAAAAACCAGGTGTGTCGACAAGAACCAGCTCTCGCTCCTCCACCGTTGCGCTCTCTCTCTTGCACTCTTTTGTGACCGAGCTCATGCTCAGTCCGTCATCAAAGTGCTTGTTTCCCAGGATGGTGTTTCCCGTCGCGCTTTTCCCTGCACCTGTTTTTCCCAGCAGAACCAGGCGCAGTTCATTCGGCGCTGGATTTATTGTGTGCTGATGATCGCTGCCAAATGAATCTTGGGAGGTTTGAGCACGTGTCTTCCTCTTGTTTGAGTTTCCGCTGGAACTCTTACTCTGATCACTGAGTGGCATCTTTGCACCTGAGGAAAAAACAAACTATCCAGCAAATCGTTGAGAAAACTAACATTGATGTCTAGGTTACGACTGTAACCTCTGTTCCCTAAGAACAGGGAACGAGACACTGCGTTGATGACGCTATGGGGGAACGCCCTCCACGTGAACCGGTGTCTGAAAAGCTATCCAATCACGGCAATCGAATTTGAACGGCATCAGCCCATGACGTCACTACTACTAGGACCAGGAAGTATAAAAGGGGCGCCTAGAGAACATGTTATCAACTTATCGTCTGAAGGGACTGTTCAGCAGGCATCCCAGAGTGTCTCGTTCCCTGTTGTCAGGGAACAGAGGTTACAGTCGTAACCTAGACGTTCCCTTTTGAAATGGAAAATTTAATGACGCTATGGGGAACGATGTACAATCCCACCATGCGGAGGGGAGTGCATGCCAATTATGGCTCGTGACAGAACGTCAGAACTGGCAGTTTCAACCTGAAATGCCAAGAAACCACTCCCCCTTTGGGTCACATACTGACATTATTCCCTATGGTCACTACCCAAGCTATAAGCCTCACAGAGGCCTCCAACAAGGAAAAGCCTACCAAGGCCGCTCAAGGGCTTGAAACCAACAGCTTTCATGGAAGGAATTTTTTGGGAATATGGCCAGGGGTTCCGAAAGGAGTCCCGTCCAGTCACTTTCTGAGGGGGACACAAAGTCAACCCCATATGCTGTTCCTGGAGAGTAGGACTCAGTCTAGTGCTTTATAACCCTTGCAAACGAGGGGAGTAACTCTACTCAATCCTGGATCTACACAGTGCTTTGAAACATTGTGGAGGCTGGGCACTCTAACAAGGGAAGCGCCTCCAGCTCTAGGGCTGATTTAGCAGGGAGGCCTCATGAGAGTCCTTCAACCTTCTGATCAGACTTAGGGTTAGCTAGGAAATTAATATATATTGACCAGGCTCTGGGCTAGAATCAGGGAGGCTCTAAGGGAGCCTACAATGTGATGATCTTAGTTATTGCTAAAATCCACATTATGGTGGAGCCACCTTCAAGGAGGCCTGTGAAGGCCTGCTACTTGATAGTGATACTTGTTAGCAGAATTAGCCTCAGAAATCATAGGTGTACTCACAGAAATACTGTGGGCCTGGTTTTCCTACTTTTACATTGACAATGGACAGTCTAGAGCGCTATCGACCCTTTAAACAAGGGAGGACAATCTTACGCTACCTGACTATAGAGGAGGCCTATAGAAAGGCCTACAACTTCAATTATCAAAAAAAAGTCCGCCCATGGCATGCTTAGGCTCTAAGGGAGTGTACTCAAACCTGTCCCAAATGGGAGGGAATACTAAAGTGAGCCCCTGTGGTGCAGGGGCGAATAACTAAAGCTGTGGATAGCCAAAAAAAAACACTAAGCCCAAGGGAAATGGAGGCCTTAGTTATGAGGCCAACGACATTTTAACCTTATGACTTGAAAATTAATTCAAGGGGCCTAGATAACCAACCTAAAGACTAGCTGGGAATTTTAGCTACAATATACAGCTCAGAAAACGGAGACCTCAGCATTACTGCTTCCAACTCTCTCTTCTCCGAGAGAGACAGGTCTGACAACGCCCAGAATATACCCCTATGGGAGGCTTAGGAATAGCCTGCTACGTATGTTGCTATTTATTCAACCCTTAACATCCACTAGCATTATCGCCTAATGCAAAGGCGGGGCTAGGCTACACGACTCTTGAGAAAGAGGAGGCTAGTACCAGGGAAAAAACTAGACCTTACAGAGATAAGCTGTAGATGATCTAACTCTAAAGAGCCTACTCAGATACTGAGGGAACTCTTCTAGCAGATCGTCTCCAACAAACTCCTAGAACACATGCCTAAACCAGATATTAAGGCAGCCCTCGTGGGGATGGCACTTGAATATCATATGTCTGAAGTTCAAAGCTATAGTCTAATAAACAACTCTCAGAAGTAGGGGCGGCAGTGGGCGGCAAGGGGCGGCAGTGGCTCAGTGGTTCATGTAGGTTGTCTACAAACCGGAAGGTTGGTGGTTCAATCCCCGGTTCCACCTGACCAAGTGTTGAGGTGTCCATGAGCAAGACACCTAACCCCAGCTGCTCCCGACGAGCTGGATGGCGCCTTGTATGGCTGACACCGCCGTCGGTGTATGAATAAGTGTATGAATGGGTGAATGTGAGGCAAAATGTAAAGCGCTTTGGTGGCCATTGGGTCTGTGAAAGCGCTATATAAATGCAGTCCATTTACCATTCAGAAGTGAGAGGAGACCTGCTATACAAATACAAGGTGGCTATCGCTGAGGCTTTATCGTTGAGGTCTATCTGGAGCTTTATACAAAGCGGTGGCCTTAGGAAGCCATCTTACGCTAAACAGAATCTGTTTGAAGCTCCTGTGCATGGTGGCCTCAATAGAGATACTGTATGCGATGAGGCCAACCTGTACACTACTGGTTGACCAAGATTGGCACCAGCTACTACATAAACTTGACAACTCTAAAACAAGAGGAGGCCTAAGATAAGGTATGCAAGCCTACCTATCAAAAAAAGGAAACTTCAGGTCCCTAATTCCTAATTTTACATATCCTATCAAACATACCCGTAATACTTTCTAAACAGGGAACCGGGGTCTAAAGTTTAAGTCGCGCTTCCTTGAGTCGCGCCTCCTCTGCAACCCACTCCTTGTAGGAGGAGGAGGAGCGCGAGAGGCGACGCTGAACCTCTGGCCCTGTCTCTGATCCTCGAACCGGGATGGGCCAGGCCCCCCTGGCTGTCTGGGTGTGGATTCGGACCTCAGCGGAATGCATGATTTAAATGCAGTCTAGCGCGCTTTCGCCTCTCTGATCTTTACCACCTCCGTCTCAACGGAGGCGCCTAAAAGTTCAGATGGTGAAACCGGGGCATCGAGGAGAAAAGCCTTTTCTTTCTCCCCGATGTCAGCCAGGTTCAGCCACAGATGTCTCTGCACCATCACCACCATCGACCTTCCAATCGAGGCAGCGGTTGGTCTGGTGGCCCGAAGAGCCAGATCTGTGGTGCGGTGCAGCTCGTCCACTGCGTCAGGGGAGAGACCCTGATCCAAATCCTTCAGCAGGTCGTCTTGGTATGCCTGTAACACAGACACCGTGTGTAAAGCAGCCCCAGCTTGACCTGCTGCCACGTATGCCCTGCCGTTCAGACGAGATGTCATCTTGAGTGACTTGGAAGGCAGGCCCGGAGCTTTTAGTGCTGACGCCTGTCCAGCAGCGAGTTCGCAAATGTCGCGTCGATTGGGGGCATCGACACATACCCATGTTCACGCATCCCTTCGACATCAGCGTAGTTTGCTCGCTGCTGACGATGGATGCGTGCAGAATATGGGTTCTTCCATGCCTTCTTGATCTCAGTATGCAGACCAGGAAGGAATGGAAGGCTCACGGGAGCTGGGGAGTTGTGGTCAAAAAGGAGCCGCTCATCCAGCCGAACGGTTTCTTCCCTCACGCGCTTCCACGCCAGCTGAAGCCTCTCTGAAGCGCGCTCCACAACCCCCAACAGCTCATCATACGCGGAGCAGGGCTGTGAGGGTTCAGGTTGTACCTCTTCTTAATCCTCATCAGCCCTCTCCTGCTCTCTTGGGCTGAGTTGGGCTGAGACGAGAGCTGAGTTTTCGTAAAGGAAAACACTCACATTCTGCACAGGTCTCTCAAGAGCTGATCGTGTGTGCTCTTCGCCCAAACAGCAAACGCACAAGTTGTGTGTGTCATCTGGTGTCAGAAACCTGAGACACGGATCCACACACTTTTAGAAACACTTATCACTTGCCGTAATTGTTCTCACCTTTTTCAGGTGATTGCATTTCAGACAAAACAGTCCCTGAAGACGAAAAGAGGATGACATTGACAAGTTCTCTAGGCGCCCCTTTTATACTTCCGGGTCGCACTAGTAGTCACGTCATAGGCTGTCGCTGGTCAAATTCGATTACCGTGATTGGATAGCTCTTCAGTGGAGGGCGTTCCCCATAGCGTCATCGACGCAGTGCGAGTTCCCTTTTGAATGGGAACTCAACTAATATTCTCAGAACTTTGTGGCAAGGTTCTCTCAGTTATGAACCAAAGTTCTTCCAGTAACGTTAATGGAACATCCATGTTATCTGGTCTTTAATAATGTTCTCAAAATGTTAGCACAAAAACGTTATTTATACATACTTTTTTTTTCCTGAAATATTTTAATTGGATGTTCATCTAACATTTTGTAAATGTTACTTCTTGTTTCAGAGAACATTCAAAAGTAACATTCAGAAAACATTCACAAGTAACATTCAGAGAACACTCAAAAGTGATGTTTCCATAATGTTTTAAGAATGATACAGTGGAATGTTTCTTTAACGTTCAACGTTTGAGCATTTAATGATCTGGATGTTTTAAACATTTAGAAATAACGTTTTCATAATTTAATAGCAAAACGTTCTTAAAACATATTTTTGTTAGTTGGGTAATAATAATAATTTATTCCAATTATTTCCTGCAATCGGGATTTAGTTCACTGTCAAAGATTAAAACAATAAACAATACGCACTTTTTATCATAACAAACACCTAATTCACATCCTGAATTACTACTAATTACAAGGATGATGTAATAATGCATCTGTAATCGTCTAATGATTAAAGCATTTTTTTTTACCTTCGTTGGATATGTTTTCTGGTTCGGTGTGTGTGGCGTGTTTCTTGACTTGTTGGACTGGTTTAGGATGGGCAGGGCAGGACTTACAGAAGCGGAACTGAGCTTGAACTTACATGTTTCACGCAGTAGATCTCAGTTGTTCACAAAAGGATGTTTATTGACTGTATGAAGTGAAAAAATAAATGCATTTATGTTTACGTTTAAACGTATATCATGCAATATATGCGAATCAGGGTTTGTTACTTTAATCACCTGTGCTTTTCGTTCGCATCCACTAGAGGGACACAGTGTTTCAGAAATGAACTGACGTCACAGGTTATTAGCCTGTGACAAATATTTACATATCGTACCACGTGCACAATGAGCTAATCTATGCACCAGTGTTTATTGTTTACAGTGTTACACAGTGTTACAGAGTATGCAAACTGTAGTTTAGAACATTTTGCAAAACTTTTTTTTTTCATGGCTGAAAACAGACTAATTTCACATATACAGCAGAACAAGAGGGTGAAACACTTTCACACAGAATGATAGAACAAAAGCAATGAGAAAATGTCTTTTGATTTAGTCATTTATGGACCATGAAGAAATCAGGTCTCATTGCTTACGGTAGTGTTTTACGCGAACATGGTATTTTTGTTGTTACCGTTTTATTCGTTTAAATATCTAAATGTTAGTGAGATGAAGAAATATAAAAATAAAATAGTCACCATTAAACAAAAATAGTTGTTAAATCTATCAAACCAGAATATTAGTAGCCAATCGGTGAATCATCCTCGTCCCCATTCTAAAGGCATCTTTTACTAACACCCGATTTCTGAAAAACTATTATGAATCTAAAATTATTTATATTTTTAGACAGTAGCCTAATATACTGTTAAAATTGTTATTTATTTATTTAATCTAATTTGTGTAATTGTATTTATTTTAATAAATGAATAACTATTTTTCTTTAAAGCACATTTTTTACATAAATCCATTAATCAATCCATAATCCATTTGATTACATAAATAACCTTTAAAAAAAAAAAAGTTTAGTCAGTCATTTTAATCTAATTTATTCATTTGAATAATATTACTTATTTTTCCCCGTCACTCCCAGTTTTGTGCTATATTTTTATATTAGTATAAAAGCGAAAACCCCTCCCGAAATGACTCGACCGAATGACTTTCATCATCGTTTTCTACTTCGATTCACTTTTCAGGGTTGATGTTTTTTCTTCATTTAGTTTAACCAACAGAAACTAGTGGTTTTTCCTCAGTGCATTAATGTACAAAACCTGGAAAACACCCCATGGTTGAGAAAGCATGGATTCAGAAGTACAGTACTCACTAAACAAACAGAAGCCATTCATATTTTCATAGTCAAATGCATATCCATAAATCAGTTAGGGATGTGCATTCGTAAAGGACTGTAATGCAAAAGTTCTACTTAAACGAGTGGTAAACGTTAACGTCTGGTTTGTTGTCATGCTTCAGGGTTTCTATGAGACGGAGTGCTGCATCTTCTCATGGCTTTTGATCTCGATGTATTTGGCGGACTGGTAAGCGCTGATGTGGTCGATCTTGCCGTTGACGAGGACGGGTCGCTGGACGGGGTTTTCAGGAGAGCGCATGAAGCTCTTCTCCATCTTGTGCTCCAGCTGCATGTGGTTCTGAGGCGGGAGGCCGAGGCAAGCCCTGCACAACGACACACACACACACACACACACACACACACACACTCAATACATGCAAATGATTTCACACTCATCCTTCACTCAGGTCATTTTGACCCTCAACTATTTAAAAAAACAAAAAGAGTGTTCATCAGAGGGGTCCAAGACTCCAGGACTTTTGTCGCACTTGAACCACGAATATACACAAGAATAATTGAATGGATTTGACGAGTTTCGACAATTTAAAAAAAGTAACAAATCCTCCTTCCCTTTCGGGTCATTTTGACCCCCTGAGGAATGCTTCAGTACACATAGAAAAACCGGTAACACTTTACTTGAAGTGGTGTGCATAAGAGTGACATGACACCTTCATAATCATCACAGGACACATGTTATGAATATGAAGGAGGGTTTATGCATGTTTATGACAACTGTCATTAAGTGTCATTCGCTCAATTATGACATTTTTAATGCAAATATGACATTGTTTGAGATAAACCAATACATCATAACCTGTCAGTGTCTTGGTCATGACAACTTGACATTACTAAGACAACACATAAATATGTCATAAACATGCCATAGCAGATTAATGATCAAACTTAAGAAACCACTTAGCTTTATGGGTTAACATTACATTAAACTGTCATGTTGGTTTTGACATTGGCTGTCATGAGACATTTTAATGACAAATTCAATGTGTGCCACTGTAGTTGAGGTCAAGAAACATATTCATGACACAGTTATAATGCCTCATGACAGCCAATGTCAAAACCAACCACATGACAGTTTAATGTAATGTTAACCCATAAAGCTAAGTGGTTTCTTAAGTTTGATCATTAATCTGCTATATCATGTTTATGACATATTTATGACAGGTTATGATGTATTGGTTTATGTCAAGGTGTCATAACAAAGACATCTCAAACAATGTCATATTTGCATTAAAAATTTCATAATTGAGCGAATGACACTTAATGACAGTTGTCATAAACATGTATAAGCCTCCTTCATATTCATGACGTGTCATGTCATGATTATGAAGGTGTCATGTCAGTCTTATGCACACCCCTTCAAGTAAAGTGTTACCGAAAAACCTAAAAATGCTCTAAACTCTAACTAAAACTTTAACGAAAAAATTATTTTATAATGTCTAGATGTGTTTCTGAATGCACACTGAGGCGAACTGGCTTTAGGACCCAGCGTAACAGCTCCTCTGCTCCATATAGAGCTATAAGCCCATCTAGAGGCATGAAATATCATGTGTTATTATTATTTCCCCACATGAGGTCGGCAAAGACTCCCGATGTAAGATATTTAGAGCTGAGTTAAAAGGGTTATGCATGAAATTGTGAGTTATTATGAATTAAGTTGAATGAATGTGAGGAATGTGCTTAAATTACTATTTATTGATACTAATTTAAAGGTAAATAAAAAATAAAAATAAAAAAAATCTTCAAAAAAATTGCATTAAAAATAGAAAAATATTATCAAAATGAAATAAAATAAGCTTTCTGGACAATTAAAAAAAAAAATTAAGTATAATTGTAGGTCTTCGGGTCATTTTGACCCGCGAGGGAAAGACGTGTTACAGAAGGTTAAAGGCCGCAGATCTTCTCTCACCTCATGACGTTCTCGATGCACGCGCGCTGACGGAAGAAGGCGTTGACCACCGGCGCCCCCTGTGGCACGAGCGGGGCTTTACACAAGAAGCTGAGCAGCGAGAGGACGCTGTGGAAACTCTGGAACACCGGATCCTCCCGAGTGCAGAACGTGATTCTCTGGCACAGCTCCGTCAGGATCACCAGATCCAGGATAATAGGACTGGCCAGCAGAGAGTCCTATAATCATCAAAGTAACACCAATTCACTTTATTAGTATATCGCTTTCACAACACACATCATTTCAAAGCAGATTTACAGAAAGAGTCCACATTACAGTGTACAGTGATCTGTTATCTGATGACTCAAAGTTGCATGAAGTGATCACTGCATTCATAATCAACAGTCATGAGTTCTTATTAATTTTTGCATGTTGCATGTTTCGTGATTTGAGTGATTAGACGTGCTCTCTGCTGGATATTGCTGCGCGAGCGACTGACCTCGCAGGTGTTGTGCATGGCGATGGTGTTGGTTCCTCCCATCATGATCTCGGAGGTGTACTCATCCATCGCACGCTTGCTGTCGCCCACATAGGGGACATATTTAATAACCACCTGTTCACACACACATAATATTTATGTTATATTTGCACATTATATTTGCATTGCATCTTTCCTTGTAGACCGGAATACCATTTTCAAAATGCTAGATTATATAGTACATGAACTATTTGCATATGAACATCTTGTTCAAACATGTTCAAAAGAGTCTCTTCTGCTCACCAAGACTGCATTTATTTGATCAAAAATGCAGTAAAAAATTTGAAATATTATTCCAATGTAAATCAGCTGTTTTCTATGTGAATATACAGTAAAGTGTAATTTATTCCTGTGATCAAAGCTGAATTTTCAGCATCATTACTCCAGTCTTCAGTGTCACATGATCCTTCAGATCTGACGCTCAAGAGACATGATTATTAATTTAATGTGTCCTTGATGAATAAAGTGTTAATAAAGAAAATCTTACTGACCCCAAACTCTTGAGCAGTAGTGTATATTTACTCAGATGAGATGTAAGCACACACACACACACACACACACACACACACACACACACACACACACACACACACACACACACACACACACACACACACACAAACACAAACACAGACAGACAGACAGACACACACACACACACACACACAGACAAACACACACACAAACACAGACAGACAGACAGACAGACAGACAGACAAACACACACACACACACACACACACAGACAGACACACACACACACACACACACACACACACACACAGACTCACGCAGTGGTCAGGCTTCTCCCCGGGCCGGAACAGGATCGGGTTGGACCGCACGATGTCGTCCACCACGTTGCTCTTCGAGATCTCCTTGGAGCGGAACTGCTGCGGCGCCGACAGGTTCAGCCCGTCGTTGTTCCCGAGGTGATTATAACTCACTATACAAGTTGGCTGAAAACATATAAAATTATACACAAAGTGTTACTGTCACAGTGTCTGCTTGGTGTACCCTGGGTGTCCACTAGAGGTCTCTTCCCCATACCGTCACCACCACATCATGAACTGCATTTCCCATAATCCTTTGTCTGAACTCATCACTGATCATTGCACACAGCTGTTCCCACTCACATTGTTTGTATCTGTCTATTTATACCCTGTCTGTTTCAGTGTTTGTCATGGAGTCCTTGTTTGATGTCAGATTGCACTTCTGAGTTACATTCCTGTTTTGTTTCTTGTTTTTGGACGGTCTTTGTATGGATTTTGACCCTTTGCCTGGCTGGTTTATGATTATGGATTACCCCATTAAACTGCACATGGATCTTACCTTTTTTGTGTGCATCTCTCATGACAGAAGGACTCCATCCAGATGTATAGATCCAGCAGTACAGGTTTTCGTATCCTTCCCCCAACCACTGAGAAGGAGAGGAGGGGACGATTCTGTAATTAAGCAACCCTACGTCAGCAGGGCCAGACGGTGGGTTGTCTGTCTCAGACATTTTGGACTCTCTCGAGAGGCATGGGTTACAATGATGTAGCACTAAAGGATCTTTTTAATAACTGCCTTGATGACCCATTGCCTCGGAGGGAGATGAAGGGGCTTGAAATCCTGGACTTTTGGGCTACGCCCGTCTCTCCAGGCAAAATGGCCACCATGCCCTTGCAAGAGACTGTAGCACCCCCAGAGGAGGCCGAAGACACTGCAGCGCTCCCAGAGGCGGTAAGCTTGATGCCACCGCCTCGCCATCATAAACGGAGGAAGAGGAGGAAGCAGGCGTCCGCCGTCCCTCAAGGCCCGGAGAACATCCCTGAGCAGTCCGCTGTCGTCCCGGAGGACCCGACTTCGGGGGTCTCAAGTCCGGTGGTCCCGGAGGACCCGACTTCGGGGGTCTCAAGTCCGGTGGTTCCGGAGGTCCCGACTTCGGGGGTCTCAAGTCCGGTGGTCCCGGAGGACCCGACTTCGGGGGTCTCAAGTCCGGTGGTCCGGGAGGACCCGACTTCGGGGGTCTCAAGTCCGACTTCGGTTGTCCCAGAGCTGTCCACTCTCCCTGTTGCACCGCCAGTGGTGGCCAAAGAGGCTGCAGTACCGCCGCGATCTCGTAAACGGAGGAGGAGGAAGGCGTCTTCGATCCCACAGGGCCTGGAGGCCATCCCCAAGCGCCTCGCCCTTCTGGCGCCGCCCCAGCGCCTCGCCCTTCTGGCGCTGCTCTAGCGCCTCTCCCTGCCGGCACCATACCAGCGCCTCGCCCTGCCGGCACTGCCCAAGCGCCTTGCCCTGCCAGCACCGCCCCAGTGTATCGGCCTACCAGCTCCACCCATGCAACCTACCAAGCCAGTGCTTCTTCGCGCCCTGGTCGCCTGCACAGCCTGTGCCGCCCTGGTTGTCTCCACCATGGCCACCTGAAAGGTCTGCACAGCCTGCTGCTCCGCACTGGTCTCCCGAATGGCAGGTTCCGCCCTGGCCGTCGGCACGGTCTGCTCCACCCTGGACCCCTGAACGTTCTGATCCGCCCCGGGCCACTGAACGGTCTGTTCCGCCACCAGTTAAGCCATCATCTCCTGTTCTTGTTCCCCTCCATGGACCTGGTGACAGTTACCAGAAAATAATATCTGTGCTTTTATTGCTTAAAAATGTATAAGACACCAATACATTTGTTAAAGAGGAGCTATTCTGCTTTCCTCATCTTCATCTTTAGTGTGTAATGTTGCTGTTTTCGTCCGGGTTCTAAGAACATCAAGCCCGATGCTTAATCTTGCATTTTTGACCGTTCCGAACACCCGTCCACTCCCGAGTGCATTTTTCCTGAGAGACTCATTGTCTCCACACTCATATGGGAGATCGAGTCGAAGGTCCGTTCGGCCTTAGAAGAGGTAATGCCCTCAATGGCTCGCGACATTCGAAGTTTTGGCATGTTCGGTCTGTGCTCGTGGTAAAACTTCCAATCGCCCTCCGGATGGGTTACTCCAACCGCTGTCTGTCCCTTCGAGACCCTGGTCCCACATCACGCTAGCTTTTATCACTGCCCTCCCGCCCACCCCGCCCTCCCAGGGCAATACGGTCGTTTTGACCGTAGTGGACCGGTTCTTGAAGGCGGCTCATTTCATCCCCTTGCCCAAATTACCGTCTGCCAAGGAGACAGCGGTTGCTGTCGCAGATCACGTCTTTCGTTTACATGGCCTCCCGATAGACGTGGTCTCTGACAGGGGTCCCCAATTTATTTCCAAATTATGGAGAGTTTTGTCGTTTATTGGGGGCGAGTGTCAGTCTTTCATCCTCAGAGCAACGGCCAGACCGAGCGTGCCAACCAAGACTTAGAGACGGTGTTGCGATGTTTGGTTTCTCAGAATCCTTCCTCCTGGAGCCAGAAACTCTCATGGGTTGAGTACGCACATAACTCATTACCAGTGTCATCTACGGGCCTATCTCTATTTGAGTGTAGCGTAGGGTACCAGCCACCTATTTTTCCCAGTCTGGAATCCGTAGTCTCGGTCCCCTCCGCTCACGTGTTCGTCCAGAGACTCTCCTCCAGGTGGGAGCGCGCATGAAGGCTCAAGCCTCCCATCTACGTCGTGGGTCAAAACGTGTGGCTTTCTACCAAGAACATTCCTCTCCGCTCCGTATGTAACAACTTAGCTCCCAATTTCATTGGCCCGTTCACTGTCACCAAGATTCTTAGTCCGGTGGCAGTCCGCCTCAAACTCCCTCCTGCGTACAGAATTCATCCCGTTTTTCATATCTCCAAATTAAAGCCCGTGTTCCATTCACACATTAATCCGCCCGCCCCGGTTCCCCCTCCGCCGCGACTCGTAGATGGGGAACCCACTTATTCGGTCAATCGCATTCTGGACTCGAGAAGGAGGGGACGCGGATTTCAGTACCTGGTGGACTGGGAGGGTTACGGTCCGGAGGAGAGAAGTTGGGTTCCTGCTAGGGACATACTGGATCACTCCCTTATTGATTACAGTCGCCAGGAGCCGCTCTTAGGGGAGGGGGTACTGTCACGGTTCATAGATCCATGTGTTCATTTTACGTATCTGTCTGGTGTGTTTGTAGGTGTTGGGTCTGTCTGTGTGCTGCTTGTTTGTTGCCTGGTAACCAGCTGATCACTCCAATAAGTCATTCAGCTGCAGAGTCAGCTGCCTATCTCTAGTCGGAGTGAGATATACTTGGTGTCGGCTCATCACTCTTATTTTGTTCTCTCACCCGGTTCCTGTATCTGAGTTCCAAGCTGAGTCATTCCTGCATCTCGCCTGTGCTTCCAAGCAGCTCGGAGATTGATCTAGAGTTTTCTTCAACCAGCTGTCCGGTCTGAGTTTCCATGCTGTGTTTGATTCCGGTCTCTTCATCTCTCTCTCCTTTGGATTGTTGCATTGAGTTCGCTAGCCTAATGATTGTGCTTTCAAGCTGGAAAACCTGTTCTAGTAGAGCCTGAAAACATCATCAACACTAGCATAATAGATCCTCTTTAAAGTAGTTCTCTTACCTTGATTCCAGCACTGACGAGGAAGTCCACCAGAACCGACTTGAGTTTGGTCTGGCCGGATTTGAAGTCGTCTCCGCTGATGAAGACTCCTCGCTGCACGGCCAGATCCACGGCTCCGGGGACAAACGTGTTCTGCGGGGAGCCGTTAATATACGCACAACCTTCCAGAATACTGGCCACCGCAAACATGGTGGAGGGAGAAACCTCCCCCCCGGTCTGTGACGAAACACGAGAGAACAATAAAAGCATCCAGACACAGTAATACATGTGTTTTTCTTTGTTAGTTCATGTTAGGCACGTGATAATGTACATCCAGCCGGTAATCTCAGAATAAACCCGACAGGGTGATCAGGATCAGGTCTCCATCAGCCTGAAAGGGTTTATTCTGAGATAACACACACACACACCTGAAGGGGGTTTATTCTGAGATAACACACACACACACCTGAAGGGGTTTATTCTGAGATAACACACACACACACCTGAAGGGGGTTAATTCTGAGATAACACACACACACACACACACACACCTGAAGGGGGTTTATTCTGAGATAACACACACACACACACACACACACACCTGAAGGGGTTTATTCTGAGATAACACACACACACACCTGAAGGGGGTTTATTCTGAGATAACACACACACACACCTGAAGGGGTTTATTCTGAGATAACACACACACACACACACACACACACCTGAAGGGGTTTATTCTGAGATAACACACACACACACACACACCTGAAGGGGTTTATTCTGAGATAACACACACACACACCTGAAGGGGTTTATTCTGAGATAACACACACACACACCTGAAGGGGGTTTATTCTGAGATAACACACACACACACACACACACACACACCTGAAGGGGTTTATTCTGAGATAACACACACACACACACACACACACACACACACACCTGAAGGGGTTTATTCTGAGATAACACACACACACACACACACACACCTGAAGGGGGTTTATTCTGAGATAACACACACACACACCTGAAGGGGGTTTATTCTGAGATAACACACACACACACCTGAAGGGGGTTTATTCTGAGATAACACACACACACACACACCTGAAGGGGGTTTATTCTGAGATAACACACACACACACACACACCTCGATGGTGTTCAGCAGATTCTCTGCGGTGTCGTTGACGCCGGGAACGACGTCACAGAATCTCTCAGTGTTTGCGGTCCAGAGAACGATGACTTTCTCAACGCCACTCTTCTGTCGGAAGTCACAGATGTCTCTGCGGATCTGAGCCACCTGATACACACACACATCTTCAACATTAGAAAACGTGTCTTTGTGTGTGAGTGAGTGTGTGTGTGTGTGTGTGTGTGTGAGTGAGTGTATGTGGGAAAGTGTGAGTGAGTGTGTGTGTGTGTGTGTGTGTGTGTGTGTGTGTGTGTGTGTATGAGGGAAAGTGTGTGTGTGTGTGTGTGTGTGTGTGAGTGTGTGTGAGAGTGAGTGTATTTGGGAAAGTGTGAGTGAGTGAGTGTGTGTGTGTGTGTGTGTGTGTGTGTGTGTGTGTGTGTGTGTGTGTGTGTGTGTGTGTGTGTGTGTGTGAGTGAGTGTGAGATTCAAATTATGTAGAGTAAAAATATTAGTAAGACGTTACAATAAGGCCCCATCAATTAATGCAGGGATTCCCAAACCTCTTTGTCAGCCGAACTCTTAGACATCATCAAATATTTACTTGAAGCCTTATTATAATGTGTTACCAGAATATGTAATAAGCACTGTCCCAGTAAAGAGTAAACAGTACACCTGTTCTGCTTTGGTTCCTCTGATGAGGTGGTCCGCCCTGTGCTCCTGGTTCGCAGCAATGAATTCTGGGATGTATACGGAGGGTCTGGGCTTGAGCTGGTCCATGAGTGGGCGGAGCTTCTCCTGCAGGCTCCAATCCAGAACCTGCGCGCGCTCCATGGCCCCGCCCAGATCCAGAGACGAGATATCCCAGCCTGCATCAGTGATGAGCAACAACAGGAGTGTGAGATAATGGGCCCTATCATACATACACAAGTGTGTTTTGCTAGTTTCAGCCCGATGCAGTTTTCATTTTTTAATCTGTGTCCATGGGCTGCTGGTCTATGGTCTAAGTCAATGGCGCAGTATTGTTTTATTTTTTATTAGGGCCCAAGCCCAAAGGGCGAAGGCCCTATTGTTTTCCTTAGGATTATTTATTATTAGGGCCCAAGCCTTGAAAAGGCGAAGGCCCTATTGTTTTCCTTAGGATTATTATTATTATTATTATTATTATTATTATTAGGGCCCAAGCCTTGAAAAGGCGAAGGCCCTATTGTTTTCCTTAGGATTATTATTATTATTATTATTATTATTTTATCGACTATTCGGGCACTTTTGGGGCTCTTAACGTGCACGAAAACTCTTGAAACTTTGCACACTGGTCAGAACCCGCGGCCATCAGGGCCGGGCTGAAGCTGGTACCCGGGCGTGGCAGGGGGGCTCGACAGCGCCCCCTGGAACGGGGTCCGAAAACTTGGTCCATAAATCAAACACGCTTCCATGTAATAATATGAAACTCGGTACACATATAGATCTCATCGGTTCATATATCCTTTGTACTTTTACTTTTTACCCCAGCCCAACAGGAAGTCGGCTATTATGGTTTGTTTGGAAGCGTATGCCCCTGGAATTCGATGTACTCCTCCTAGAGAATTCAACCAATCGCCACGAAACTCGGTCAGCGTGATGTCAAGACATTGAGGATGAAAAATTGCCAGGGGATTTTTCATATCTCGAACGGTTTGGCCGTGGCGAGGAAACGAATTTATGGCGAATAATGGAAACAGGAAGTGTGTTATAACTTCTGCATACATAAACTGATCTTGATGAAACTTCAGCAGTGTGTTCGTCGTAAGAGGCCGATCACATGGATGTGACTATTGTGAGTCAAAGTTATAGCGCCACCAACTGGCAGAAGGAAGTGTGTCACTTTCAAAATGCTTTGAAATCACCCTCTTATTTTAACCCGATTTGCTTTAAACTTCACTGCTATAATGTAAACACACGGCAGATGTAGACCTGTGAATGGATTCTTGATATCTTAGATACTGTTGTCGTGGCAACGCATCAAACTTTAATATTCTTTTTTTATGCTTTTGAGACTCTTAGCATGCCTGAAATTGCTTAAAATTGCATGAAACTCGACAGACACATCTCATTTATTAGCCAGTAGACATGTGCAAAGTTTCAGAAACGGGCGTGTTGAGGGCTCAGTAGCGCCACCTTTTGTCAAAAGTGGGGGGATTAATTTTATCTACAGTAATAAAAATCGGTATGTGTATTGTTCTCCTCCAGCCAGACAAGTTTCTAATTTACACTCAATAGCTCCAACCAACAGGAAGTCAGATATTTTGGTTTGAAAATTGTCATTTTATGTCTCTCTCTCTCTCTGAGCCTACGTCTCTGTGTGTGTGTGTGTGTGTCTGTGAGTGTGGGGAGGGGGAGGGGGGCTAGATTAACCATTTGACTGCTGTGTTGTTTGGCCTGCATTAAAAAAGAAAATAAATGTCTTACGCCTTGTATTTTTTAAATAAGTTGTATTAATAAGTAAAGGCATATAACCAGTTGAATTGTAGTGCATTGAAAATAGTTTTATATAATTAGTTTATTAATTAAATTAACTTGGTCCATAAACTTCGTCAGAAAATTTGGTCCATAAATCAAACACACTTGCATGTAATATTATGAAACTCGGTATATAGATCTCATCGGGCCAAACAACTTTAAGCCAGCCCAACAGGAAGTGGGCTATTTTTGTCTTAATGTGGATGTTTTGCAAAACCAGGCTCTACATTTTTACCCACTCCTCTTAAGTGGTTTATTTTATTCCCACCAAACTTTTTCAACATGATGAAAATACATTAAAGAAGCATAATTGTGAATATCTATTGAATATCTCTAATTGTTTTGCTATGGCGAGGGATTAAAGTCATGTAAAAAAAAAATAAACACTAAAAGCCTCATATCTTCTAAAAATTTAATTATACACCATTTATTTCTAGATAAAATTATACAAATATCACAACTAAACCCATTTTATTCTTGTTTTCAATTTAAGAGTAATGTACAAGTTTAAAAACAGCCAGGATGCACTATTCAGTTAAAAAAATAAATATATCAAATAATACATAGGGCTATACTGCCCTCTTGTGTTCAAAATCAGGTAGGCCTATTGTATTTAAATATATTAGGTAGCCTATGTGACTCCGAGAATATTTTCTCACCGGTTATTTGACGTGTAACACCGGGGGCTTTTAAATCGCTAAGTTAAAAGTGAAAGTAAAGTAAGGACGTCCGCACGGACATTTATAGTGGTGGCGCTCACAGTGCGCTCGAATGAATTTCTATGGAAGTAGAAATGAAAAAACATTCGCTCTGTTTTGCTCGCTCGTCGCCATGGACGCGCACCGTTATGAATTCCAGTGCAGCCGCATACTTTTTAGTGTCACTTGAAAATTAGCGCCATATCGGGGACCGATTGCTTCCGGTTTTCAGGGAAAACACAACAACAAAAGAGTAAATGACAGATTCGCTTATATAGGCGCTTTTACACAAAATATTCCGTCATAATTTTTCCAGTCAGCTCTTCACTCTCGTGATTAATGAATTTTGACTCCTGTTGCTGATCTTTGCTGCAACTTTCGTTCTGCTCACAATTTAGTAAGCAAATACGTTCAAGTTTTAATTGTAGTGACTAAATGATTTTATTATACACACACCAAATTGACGGTGGGGGGCCATGGTATATTTAAATCTGCCAATTGTAATATCTGCTGGGCACCCCTAGTCTAGTCTTATTAAATGTATGCTTCATCTTTCATTTTTAATTTGTAAATTTGATCAATAAATTCAATTATTTAGAATAATAAGACACTATATGGCTGTTACTCTAGGTAGGGGTGATCAAATTAAATCGTTTACACTGAAAAATAACAATGCATTAAATAATGTGAGATTGTTTTAAATATGAGTTGGAAAGAATGATACTTTTAAACATAACACTAAACCGTCATTAGGTGTCGCCAGGCGACCGTCTTAATGAGTGAGTCATTGATTCATTCGTTCAAATGATTCGTTCGAACGACTGAGTCATTCATGAATGAGACAATACATGTTTATGGATTGGTCATTGAATCTTTGAGTCAATCGATTCGTTCAAAATGCTGAATCATTGTGTCTCTTACAGCGACAAGAGTTTAACCCTTGTTCAAGTTTAAGGCCTTGTCTTTTTGGATATATATCTTTTTTTTTAATTCCAAAATATGCATACAACCCATATATTTTAAATGTATCGTTTGCTTTAAATTAAATTAAGATTGTATGTTTGGTAATTTAACCTGAGATGAATGTGCTATATTTCAGATCAATATATTTGTTTTCCTTAAAATTTGAACTAACACTAACTTTATTCTCATCTGAATTATAAATAACTTATTCCTGTATAAAATAAAAACACATTAGAATTTTCTTTTTTAATCAATGTAGAATGTGTAATTGAAAAATAAACAGATTAGGGCTCTGAGGACAATAAATGAAAATCAATGCGATATGGTGAATGTCCAAAAGATGGCACCCACAGACTGTTTTAAATGGGGTTGGATAAATATTTTTTGCTTTTAGACAGTGTGTGCGTGTGATTTTAGTTGGGTGACAGTTGTAGGTTACAGTTTGACAAGAGTTTATAGTTTGACAAAAGCACTTTGTTGTGTTTTATTGCGAGTGTACACAAATATAAGTAAACACTTTGCAGTTTGAATGATGTCCTCTATGAACAAAATGACGGAGTATGTTTTTATGTGTAACAGTTCAATCGCACCCGCACCCGCACCTCACCCACACACACACACAGACACACACACACACACACACACACACACACACACACACACACACACACACACACACACACACACACACACACACACACACACACACACACACACACACACACACACACACATATTGAAACCTGAGTGAAGTACAAAGCCCATAATGAAGAATAGTTTAGCATCCAAATACATCGCAAATGTTGAAACAGTTTGATTCTAATGAGAGAGTTACGTGAGCCAAACACCACCTACTTTCACTTTCGCTTTCAATTATTTCGGTTATTTCTTAATTATAGTTTTTTTTTATTCTTGTTCTGTTCTGAATATCATTAAATTTAAAGAATTGCTTGTGTAATATTTTGAGTGTATCATCAAAACAGATTAATTCTCTCGGTTTAGTGATTCCCTAGTTATTTTTTTAGTGTTTTCATTGTTCTAATCAGGTAAGGCAAGTGATATATATATATATATATATATATATATATATATATATATATATATATATATATATATATATTTTATATATATATATAATTTATATATATATATATATATATATAAATATATATATATATATATATAAATATAGCTGCGAGCAGCGATGAAGGGCCAAAGCCGGCGGCACCGCCACCCCGGTGCCTTTAGGTAACTAAAGGAACCGGGGTTGCGGTGCCACCGGCTTGGGCCCGTAATCGCTGCTCGCAGCTATATTTATTATTATTATTATTATTTTATCGACTATTCGGGCACTTTTGGGGCTCTTAACGTGCACGAAAACTCTTGAAACTTTGCACACTGGTCAGAACCCGCGGCCATCAGGGCCGGGCTGAAGCTGGTACCCGGGCGTGGCAGGGGGGCTCGACAGCGCCCCCTGGAACGGGGTCCGAAAACTTCGTCCATAAATCAAACACGCTTCCATGTAATAATATGAAACTCGGTACACATATAGATCTCATCGGTTCATATATCCTTTGTACTTTTACTTTTTACCCCAGCCCAACAGGAAGTCGGCTATTATGGTTTGTTTGGAAGCGTATGCCCCTGGAATTCGATATACTCCTCCTAGAGAATTCAACCAATCGCAAGGAAACTCGGTCAGCATGATG